GCGGCTGGACTCTTCTGCCTCTCGTTTCTTCGGCTGCCTTCCCAGCACTTCAGGCGGAGTTGTTTCTGCTACAGTGCTGTACTTTGTTGACGCATCCCCTGTGGATCAAGGCCTTTCAGAGGAAGCCTGCGGTCTCCCCATCTTTTATTGGACAGACAGAACTGGAACCAGATTAAAATCTTGATTTTTTTTTTTTTAGTAGTGCCAAAAGAAGCATTAATGTTCTCTTTGTCTCTGCCAGCTGTCGCCTTGCTTGATCCTCTTTCTTGTAGCTGTTGAGTGTTGCATTGTTTCTGCTTCTCTGACGGGACGGCTACAGTGAAACCAGCAGGGAAATGGGGAACTGAGATTCCCACCATCTTCTTCAGGCTGCTGCATGACCAGTAAGATACAGCTGCCACTTGCTGCGGTGTTGGGGTCTCCTCCGGTTTGGGCTTGGTGGTGATGTGTCTCGAGTCGGTGCTTTCTCCCATTCGCACTTACAGGGCTCTTTCCTCTGCTGTTGTTATGATACAGCAGACCAGCGTTTCCAGTGAGCAGGAGCATGTAGGAGCCTTTCTGAAGCAGAGGACAACTGCGCAGTCGTGCTGTGGTGGAGGAGGGAAGGGCTCTTGAGCGATAGCATACTGCCCGGGGAGTATGGGTGACCGCTACCAGCCAGGCGGTGGGTGTCTGAATTGAGCTTTGCCTCCGACGGGCGGTTTGCCTGGAGCAGTGTCGGGGGGAGGCGGGGGTTGTCGCTGGCTGGCAGGGGGGAGAGCGGAACAGTGCGCTGCTGACGGATTTCCAGTTCCTGCTCCCAGCGGTGCGGTGCTGTTCGGCGTATGTGAAGGGGGGCAGAGGGTGGCGCACCCCCTCTCGCTGAGCCCTTTGAACCCGCCGCCAGCAGGACGGGCCCGTCTCGCTGGCGGGGAGCTCCCCCGCGGGGGGGACGCTGCGCTCTGCCGGACCACATGAGAAGGCCGTGGGGAGCCGCTGGCGGCCAGGCTGCAGCTGGGCTTCAAAGTCTGTTTACTGGCGGAGCTCGGTTTTACCCCGGCTAACCTAGCGCGGGGCAGCAGGATCCCTCGCGAGAGGAGCCGGGCGCTGCTGGCGCGTTGCGCAAGACGAGAGCGTTCTCCGCTCCTTCCCTGCAGCTGCTGGCGAGCCCGGCGATGGCTCCCGCCCGCCGGTCCGAGAGAGGCGGGTGTGTGGGGGGGGGGGGGCGGCAGCCCCCCCAGCGTGCCCCAGGAGGTGAGAGCGGGCGAGGGGAGCAGCGCAGTTTGTGTGGCGCCTCAAGCCCTGCCAGGTACTGCTTTCTTACCTCGCAAGCCGGTCTGGGTGGGCTGACCGAGTGGTACAGGGTAAGCGAGTCGAATCGGGAAAATATTAAAAGGGGGCCAGAAGAGATCTTGGGATCGATCGGCGTTCTGACCGCTATTGCCAAGCCGATTCCATTCTCAAGGAGGGGATCTGAACTTTCCATTGCAAGCAATATAAAGGAAGCAGCAGGCCAAGCAGAACTGTCCTCTTTTTTTTTTAAATCGCCACCTTATAGGCGGTTGGTGATCCTTTGTCCCTCCGCTGTTGAGGTGCAGACCCCCCCCCCCGTCCCTTCTCTAACCTCACACAAGCCCGGGGGCGTCTCCCTTTCGGCTGTGACGGCCGTCCCATCACCCCCCGAAACCCCGGTGCTGAAGCCTGAGAGTTTGCAACTGGTTCTGCTCGGCCGCCGGGTCCTGGCCCACCTGCGAGAGCCTGCTCCGGGTGCCCCAGCGGGAGATTATCAGTAGAGGTGAGGTGAGGCCTCGCCCGCCACACAGGGCCCCACGCAGACGCTCAGGCAGGAGACTGGGGAAGAGGTACAATTTCAATGCTTGTGGTCATGCGGGGGAGAGAGGAGGCAGCGTCACGTGGGCAGGACTGGTGTTTTGGAGTTGCTCTTGCGTTGCACCCCCCAAGGTCCTGGTCTGGGTGTGGGGGGGAGGGCTACGTGGTCCCCAGTTGTGACCACCTGGCTTAAAAGCCAAACTATTTTTTGCGACTCCTGAGAGGATCTGCACGTCTCCTGAGCTGTTTCCCGAGAGAAGTCAGGGTATCGGCTTCGATCACATGGCTGGGCTGCTTGTTCCCCACTCCCACCACCCTGTGTGTAAAGTTCTGTAAGCAGTTAGAAGCTGCAGACAGCCCCTAAGTTACCCCACGTGGGCTCTGGACCAGAATCCAGCATTGAGTAGCGAAGCACCTTCTTTGCGGAGATCCAAGATGTGGGAGGTCAGGAGTTATGGATTTTCACTTTGAAAGTTTTACGATCAGTAGGGGGCGCTCAGCCTGTAGTCTGTGTGGGTCCTAATGCCCTAGTACAGTGATGGAGACACTATACTATAAAAAGGCGCTGTCCTTCGGATGAGATCCGACCTCTCCGTGGTCATTAAAAATCCCAGATCGTTTCTGGAAGAGAGTAGGGGTGTTACCCCCGACATCATGGACAGATTTTCCCCTGCCCTTTACCCATCAAGGCCTCCTAATAACCCCCCTCTCTGAACAGGTTTCATCACTCTGTTCTCCTCCCCACTCAGAGCTGGTGTGTGGGGAGAGTACTGGTGCATCATCCAGGTGGGGCTGCACACTGGTGGGGGTGGAGGGGATCCCCATTACCTATGAGGCGTTTTGAGTGGAGTGTCCACTCAAATATAAGGAATTACTATTATTATTATTATTATCATTATTGATAAAATCAACCCCTAGTTAAGGGGTAACCCTACTGTGCATTTCCAGGCCTGCCCACCAGAGGGAGCCCAATACACAAAATCGTGCTCACGCGAGAGAGCTGCGGCCCCGCGGCCCGACTTGTCCCGGTTTGCTGAGCGCTATTGAAATTCTGAGCATGCCCGCTATGCTAATCAGCCTGGGTGGCCCAAAGGAGCTACTGTATTTCCTAACGGCGGGCGCTTCTAGAGCAGAGGTCGGTTGCTAGGGCAGCAGTGACTTTCCCCAGTGAAACCTCGAAGAATAACCGGCCCTTTATGCGGGGAATGAGCGGGTACATTGTGCCCACTTCTTAACTTATGACTACAGGAACTGGGCCCTGTGGGGAAAAAAAAATGATAGTATAGAAATTAGTTTCAATTCGCATTTCCCCGCGATCTCAGTTCCCTTTCGATGGTGTAGCGCCTTTCCGCCAAGTATTCTTTTTCCGTTCTGTGACATCTGGGGTCGTGGTCGGCTCACGGCAGGGGAACGGCTCTGAAGTGCTTTTCTTCGCTTGGGCGCCCAGACAAACCCGCTACCCCTCAGACGTCACAGGGCTGGCGGCTGGACTGGTCATCGCTGCGGGTCCAGCGGTGCTGTAGTCGCCGAGCCTAGGGTGCCCACGAAGGGCTTGACTCAAATGGACCGGCCAGAAAGGGGTGGACGCCGGCAAACAACGTGTAGTTACGTCATTTGATTCGATTGTGACGTGGCCTAGATTCAGAACTGACGGGCCTTACAGTTTAAATGATTTTGTGCTTTGGCGTTTCTTAATAATATAGCGCCCTTCAGGTTCGATCCGGGGGGCCGATAACCTCCAATACCACCGACAGAAAGACCGGGAAGCTCACGAGTGGCGTTTCACCGTGTCTGAGGGCAAGTGTATATGTGCAGAAATACTGTATAGGATCTGTCAGAGGTAGAACTGGGGTCTACAAGCAAACTCCGAATGTACAGCTCTTGACTGGCCCGGAGGAGCAGCGTTAGTGTGCGTGGGTCTGGTTAGCAGAGTTGTCGCTCAGGGGTCGGGTGGTGCGTTTCCAATAACACACGTTGACGACTCTGTCTCCCGGTTCCCTCTGAAGGCCCCCAGACCGTGTTTCCTGTTCGGAAACGGGCTGCGCTGTTCGGGCGACGGCGAAGCCGGTCTCCCGCCTCTCCCGGCCGGTTCCGAGCGCTGCGTCCCAGGGCGTGACTGACGGCGGCTCTGTCGTGGCAACAAGCAGTCAGTCTACTGATCGTTGTTTTTAAATTCTAGAAATGTAAAATCAAGTTCATTCCGGTCGAATTTCAAAGCACTGAGGCTACTTTGCTTTGTTTTCCCCCCGATGACGCATTGTTTAGGTTGGGGGGTGATTCTGGACCTTAATTGTCTTTCTCCTCTGAACACGAACACGGCGAGGGCGGCAGCGCTCAGAGGGGTTCTGAACGACGCTGCTCTTACGACACGGACAGCAGGGCTCCTGGAGGTGACCTGATCGATCCAAAACCGGTTCTGATGGAGCTGCCCTCCCGCCTTCCGCCTCCCGGACTCGGGGGTCGCGGGCACCCCTTCAGCCAGACCCCACAATTGCGGTTTGTCTCGTTAATTTAAGAAAACGGCGGTGTTGCCCCCAGTGACGTCAAACCTGAGCAGGGTGGATGACAGTAAAAGTTAAGAGTCGCGCTCCGGGTCCCGTCAAGCTTCTACGTCACGATCGCCCGCAATTTCAGCACGTGGCTGATGTGAACGCCGTTCTTCCGGTCCCCTCGCGGTTACCTCGCTCTTGGCTCTGCGGAGTGAGCCGACAGAGTCCTTTATCTAATCGTATGGGCTAAGTCATAATTACATTAACACAAAAGGGTCGAGGAACGACAGCACGCTATGGGGCACCCCTGATCAGGATCATTTTAAAAACGTCTCCACGTCAGTTAATACCCGATATCCTTAGAGATGTAATTAGACTGACCTGTCTGTTTTGTAAATATGCCCTTACTATATATATATACACACACACCAACATGGCAACTTGCGCTCAGCCAGTGACCTAACAGAACCAGTCTCATTCTTCTGGGAGCTTACTGGGTTCCGCGCAGAGGCGCAGTGCGCGCGCGCCTCCTGCCAGGGCTCTCGGTCCCCGAGGTGGCGGGGTCTCGAGCGCCTCCCCCGCTCTGCCCGCTCTGAGAGCGAGACGCGGATTCTCCCGACTTGGACCCTCCCTCCCCTCCTCTCCCCAAGTAGACGAGCAGCGGGAGCGCTCAGCGGTCTGCAGTCGCGCAGGCGGGCACCCGGCGAGCGTGTGCGAGCGAGGGAGCGTGCAGGGAACCCCACTAGAATGACAGCGCTGGCCCGGCCGTGCACAGCCGCCGGTCCCCGAGTCGAGCAGAGGCGCTAGACGGGCCCCACTCTCTGTGCGTGGGCGGGGGGGGGGTCGGAATAAAGCCAGCACCAGCCCAACAGCACCCCGCGGTTCTTACTCCAGACAGCCAGGTAGCGAGCGGAACATGTCGACCACCGAGTAGGAGACGAGCCGACGGGGTGTCCCCAGAGAGCCGATGTGTCCAGAGCCCGGGGCGACCCGGGCGGCTCTGACGGGGACCAGGAGGAGACGGGGCGGAGAGGCGATGCCGGACGGGCGGGTGGTCTGCGTGGTGCTGCTGGTGCTGCAGCCTCAGGTAAGGGACCGGATCTCCCGCCCCTCTGCCCGCCTGGCAGCGGGCGCCGCTTGGGGTGCGCGTGTCCCCCGCGCCTCGGGGGCTGTGCCCGTGCGGGGCCCCGGAGCAGCACCTGTCCGGCTGCCTTCACTTGTTGCTTCCGAGCGAGAGGCGATGTCACGGGCTCGGCGCTGCTGGCGGAGGGTCATCTTGCGCGCAGCGCTGAATCACCCCGGCAGGACTGTAATTTGCGCTGAGAGGGATGTTTGTGTGAACGTTGATTTTTTTTTCCCTTTTCTTTTTTTTTGCGCAACAGACTTATCTGGGGAGTGGCGTTGATTGACGAGCTGAGACTCGGAGATAAACCCTCTCCTGAATTCCTCCCCCCCTCCACCACCACCACCACCAAACGTCTCTCGCTGAGCGGGGTGTTATTAAGTTCAGTCTGAAGGGAAAACGCAGAGAAAGTGAGAAAAAGAGTGGTTTCACCCCGGAGAGAGTGAGGAATCGCAGCCGGGGGTGGAAACGTGCGGGTTGTCTCTCTCTCCGACAGCGGTCTGACCGGGTCAACACATGTAATCGCCTTATAACGCTGCAGCCGCGGGCCCGCCGGCGAAGCGCCTGGAATCGGTGCCCCGGGGCTCCGGGAACTCGGGGGTCAGCCGGGTGCCGAACCTCAGGCTCGCGTCCGGCGGGCATCTTGGGGACCCAGGCGTGACGGGTACTCTGCTCTGGGGTCCACACGCTGTCGCCCCAGTCAGCTGGCCTCAGACATGTGCCCGGTCTAACTTTTCCCAGAGTCACCCCCGCCGCCTCCGAGTGCAGAAACGGCGCTATAAACCCCTTTGTACCGTGAGCGCGTGATCGGTTTGTCTAGCAGTTAGCCTGCTTCCTACTTCCCCCTCAGCGCGGGTGGTATCGGGGTCCCCCTCACTGCACCCCAGCGCGTGTTTGGAAGGCAGACCTCCCCGGAAGAGAGCGAAAGCGCGAGCGTGAGTGGGGTGTGCGCGCGGGGGTGGGCGAGCCGGCTCGTGACCACCTGTCCACGGCCGCGCGAGTGCCCGAGGGGCTGTTTCCTGCGCCGTGGAGATGGCGCGGCGTCAGCGCACAGGGATCATGAAAGGCAGAGGAAACGACAACCGACGCTCCCCTCCCCACCGCCCGAGTCCGCTTGTCTCGGCTGCGAGCGATTTACTGCCGTCGGAGACGAGCAGAGATCCGGCCGGAATCTCAACACCCAGAGGAAAGTCGTCGGGGCGACGCTGAGATCCCGGTCACTCGTGCGCTAGGCGACTCGAGTGGGAGTACCTGGCCCACGCTGTTCCCGTCCTGGTTACACCTTGTGCAAGAGTCGAACAGTCCCCATAAAAACGCCTGAAACCATCTTTTGCGTGACGCGTCAAAACGGTTTTTGCCGTTTTCTGAGCTGTGCATCTTTTCTCCCGGGTTGTTAGCAGTTACAGTGGAAAGCAGCAACCTGTATCCCACATCAGTCTAAAGGAAATGTTTACTGAGGTGCGAGGCCCTCCTGAGAGCACTGGCAGGTGCCGATGAGCTGTGGGCCACAGCCGTGCCCTCGCCAGGCCCAGCAGAGCTGCAGGAGCAGCAGGCAGGCATCGCCATGGCAGCCTGTGGTTTTGGGGGAACGCTACCACCTCGTGATGCCAACGCTGTGGCAGGGCTGGGGCGCAGATGGTGCCCTGCTGGTGTCTGCAGGCTGCGGGCCGGGGGCAGGTTGGTGTCACTCAGCGTGCCCCCTGCTCTGGGCGCTCCCTCCCTGCGCTGGCAAGGGGGCAGTGTGTCTGCCAGCCTGAGGGCCCCGCCTCGGCCCCCTGTCTCCCAGAGGCCTGATGAGAGATCAAGACCCTGCTGAAATGTAAATATGCGAAGAATCTCTGCAGGCCGGAGTGCACTGTCGCGGGCAGGGGCTCAAGATCCCTCTCTCTCAGCTGCTGGATGAAAATCCCTCCCGCTGGTTGCTGGGAGTAAGCAGGTCCAGTGAGGCAGGGTGCGTAGTGGCGGGACTGTGCCTTATTATTCCTGCTCTGTGTCAATATGCCATGTGCTCGCTCCTTCCTACAGTTTTCCCAGGAGTGGGAAGGCTTGGGTTGCAAGGTTGGGCAGCGGTGCCTCATTCCCAGGGCCCAGAGAATTCTTCATGTGTTTCTGAGATGTTGGAAGGCTTTTGATGTCCTTGCACTGCTGGCTGAAAAGAAATGTGCAGGAAAGAATTGTCCGTTTTTTCCGATCCTTCAGAAGGGCTCCTGTCGTGAGAAGCAGTTGGGTTGGGTCTGTATTTTAAGAGCTGTAGACTAATGGCACGACAATTGAGTTCAGTGTGTCAGTGGGTCTGTGTGTTGGTGCGTCTATGGTTCAGTGGGTCAGTGATTCAGTGTGTCAGTGCGTCTCTCAGTCACTGTGCCAGTGATTCGGTGTGTCAGTGGGTCTGTGTGTCGGTGCTTCTGTGGTTCAGTGTGTCAGTGGTTCTGTGTGTCAGTGCGTCTGTGTGTTGGTGCGTCTATGGTTCAGTGCGTCAGTGGGTCTCTCAGTCACTGTGCCAGTGGTTAAGTATGTCTGTGGGTCTGTGTGTCGGTGGGTCTCTCAGTCACTGTGTCAGTGGTTCTCTCTGTTGTGAGATCACCATTGCAGACTCCAGCATTGTCTCTGGGCTCACAGCCATCGTTGTCTCAGGGGTCTTGTTAGTGGCAGCATCAGGTGTTACATGGTTTGGAAGCTGTTCTCTCTTTCCCTTGCGGAGCTGGAGCAGAGGTTGCTAGGGCCTCGCTGGTGCCGCTGGGTGAATTTCCACAGACAGTGAGACGCCCTGATCCCTGGGGTTCCAAGACAGCCTGCCCTGGCATTTAAATCCAGGAATGGATTTGAAGTGCTGTGCAGCGGGAGTCTGACCTTGTCCATGCCCAGGGCTGCTGGCCTAGCCCATCCTTCTCACAGTGCACCAGGCACAGCAGCATGCTCCTGACCGAGGCACAGTCTGAGGTCTGACCATGAAGAGCGATCTGGCACGATGAAGGAGTGGTGCCTGTTGCCCTGGGTGCCACAGGACTTCACTGTTCCAGCGTGTCTCTCCAGACTGGGGCTGCTCCAGGTCCAATAAGATGGTGGGGTTCTGTGAAAAGGAGCAGCACTTTTCTAGTGTCTTTTTACACCCATCCGTAAGCACCAGCGATGCTTTGTCCCAGAGTTGTCAGCAGACAGACAGGCTCTGAGCCAAACTCCTTGCAGGAAAGGTCCCAGTTGCTGCCTCGTTGTTGTCGATATTACACACATCCCAGATAGGGCTGCTTTAAAAAAAAGGTATTCCAATGAAAACATGACTGTTTGGAAATGTAGGCATTACACTGCAAAGATCTGTGCTCTAAAAGAATGTTTCTCTGGTTACCTTAATTGAGCTGTACCATATTAGAATGTGAGTGATTGTATACAATCTACATTAATACATAGATGCATATTTCTATAGACTTGCAAAACCACCCTGAGTGTTTAATAAAACTCGCAAAAGTATCATTGACAAAAGAGCATAGTTTAACCCTCAGGTTTTTGTTACTAATGATAAATGATAAAATGGCCCTGTTTTCAGTAAAGGTGTAAAAGCACCTCTCTATGTACCTGTCGGCTTTGCAGGGAGCTGTTCAGTGTCCCCGCAGTGGTTTTGCGTCAGGAATGGAAATGACACTTTGGATCTGCATCTGTTCCATGTTCCACGATGCACTGAGTCAAGCTACCAGATGCAGATGTGCCCAGATGTGTTGTGCTGCCTTCTGTTTGAGCTTGGTGTTTTGTACTCTATTTGTCGAGCTTGTTCATTTGACTTGCCAGGACACAGGCGTGCTGTGAGCAGTTTCGGCACTCAAATAATTCAGCCGCCCTGCTGCAGGCTGTTTGACTGACTTGCTGATCTTTAGCTCCAGGTCTTGGGAAGAGAAGGTGTGAAATCTGCTGGGGAGCACAACTAGATCTGCTTCATGGGGAAGCCAGGAATCCAGGTGTGCAACAGAGTCATCTACTGCAGGAATTCTTAGAGCAGAGAAGACAGTAGGGATGGGTGGCAGCCCTCAGCCAGGTGTTACTGCAGAAGCAGCTGTTCAGCCCAGTCTGGACTGGCCATAGTGGGGAGGGAACAGAAGACAGGTGAGGATGACAATCAGTCCATAGTGAGCATAGTGATAGTGAGCAGTTCATTGATCCATGGACCTCATCCTGTTGCTTCTTGGAAGAAGGCTGGGTATTGAGTTCAGCGCTGTTACTGGGCAGCTTGTTCCAGACTTCTACCACCCTTTGTGCGTTTGTGCGTTCCTCCGGTTCTCAACTGAAGTGCAGCTTAACCTCCCTTTAGTGTCCAGTTGTCTCTTCTGCTTATGCTTCTCCGTTCAAGACTAAAGAGATTGGGTTCCTTCGCCCTGGCTGCGTAAGAGTTTGTGGGTGCCCAGTGATAACCTTTTCTCACGCGGCACTGCTGCTTACACACTGCTGCTCGACAAATCCTGGCCGCCGTTAGCTAGCAGCTCGGCTCGGACCAGGAGAGCTGATTCCTGGACGACAGGACAAAGGCTCTGTTATGATTGAGCCCCTCGTAGCCCCCGGTCGAACTCTTTGCCCACTGTTTCTTCACGCCAGGGGCGTTTCCTGTTGCCCGCTGGGCTGCGCGCTCGGCGTGTTCAGCGTGGAAACACTGCAGCCTGTCTCCTGCCCGGCCTCCCCTCTCCCTGCTTCTCTGTTGACATCCTGTCTGGCAGAGGAGGAGAAAAAGACGTTTTTCATTTATTTGATCTTCGGGAACACAATAGCCGAGGGGGAGAGAGCTGGAGAGTGTTGGTCAGACTGAGTGATTGTCTTCCTCTTTCCACTCCGCACAGAAAGTAACCGTGATCAATGGCCCCAGCCTGGCGGCTGCTGCTGCTGGTTAACCCCCTCCCTGCCGGCAGCCTGCTGGCGGGGCCCCTGTCCAGGACGGCTGGAGTGGCTCGGGAGCCGACCGAGAGTCTCTGACCACGTCTCTGTCCGCTGCCCTCCTCCCTCTCCAGGTCCTGCAGGCGGTGGGGGTGTTCGAGCTCCAGATCGAGCAGCTCCAGAACACCAACGGGCTGCTGCTCGGCGGGGGGTGCTGCGACGGCGGGGGCGGGGGCGGCGCGGGGGGCCGCTGCCCCCAGGCGGACCAGTGCGACACTTTCCTCCGGGCGTGTCTGAAGGAGTACCAGGTGCGGGTGTCGCCTACGGGGCCCTGCACCTTCGGCGCGGGCAGCACGGGCGTCCTGGGGGGCAACAGCTTCTCCCTGCGGCACCGGACCCCCGGCGAGCAGGTGGGGCGGATCGGCATCCCCTTCAAGTACGCCTGGCCGGTGAGTACTCGCGCCCGTGGGCACGGCGGGGCGCGGGGGGGTGTCGGGGCACCTGGCTCTGAGGGTTTCCAGGCAGGGAAACGAATGATGTAGAATCAGATCCTGTCAGTCCGAGATGGCCTGAGGGAAAGAGAATGGTGCGCAGTCTCGGTGACCCTCCTGCTTGAGTATCGGCGTCAGGCCCTGCGGGGGGGCCTCTTCGCGTGTGAGAGCACGCGCTTGGAGCTGTCGAGGCCTGTGTGGTCCTCTCCGTCGCAAGGAGGCTCAAATCTAACTAGGGGTCGCCAGGGCTGGCCAGAGCTGGAAAGGGGGTCTTCATCAGGGCGCTCTCTCTGTCTCATCGGTAGTGCTGGCTTGGTGGGGTCTCTCTCTGTGAATCTAATTTGGAGTGCCGGCTTGTCTGGGCTGGGCTGACTGAGAGCTGGTTTGTGCTGTAAACCTGCTGGTGAGGAGCTCTGGGCCCTGGTGTGATCACAGAGCACTGATCTATGCTGTCTTTCAGCAGTTTTTTAACCAAACCTTCTACACTACAGCTTGATAGTTTCTCTCTGCAGGGGGTAATGCAGGTAGCCCTCCCCTGCGCCGTTATCTTCCATACCTTTGTGGCTGTGTCTCCTGACCAGTCAGGATGTTTTAGCGAGAGCACTTTTCTTGGGATTGAAACCCTTCATCCTGAGTTTCACCTCGGTTTGGGAGAGAGTGGCTGGTGAGCCGTTCTCATTGTGTCCCTGCTCTGTAATTCAGGATTGCGGACGGTTTTCTACCGGGACATGATCATGAGCTCTGCAGCTCAGTTGTTGTCTGCGGGTTCTTTCAGATATGAAGGATTTGATTGAGGAGAACTGGCCAGGGCACAGCCAGTGCTGCCCAATGGTTTTGCTCATCAGTGCACAGCGTTAATTAATGGTGCAATTAGTCTTTGCAGGGTTGTTTTTTCCAAAACCAGATCGCGTGCACTAACCTACTGAGACAGTTTTGAAAGATTTAATTTAATAACTCGTGAATATTACAAATTCTGTTTGTCTCTGTAGTTTATAATTTGAACTATATGTTGTATATGAAGGAATTAACTAAAACTGTCTTCTGAATCCTCCTCTCCTCAGTCCAAACCGACCCTCACGTTTCTTGCTTTATAGTATCTGATACATCTGTGCTCATTTATAAAGCCACTCCAGCAGTGAGGAGTAGCGCTCACGGGTCCAGATTCACGGCAGGAGGTTCTGTGAGGTCAGGTCCCACGAGGAGCACTGCTGCTGTCCCCTTGAGCAAGCTGCTTTACTCAGACTGCTCCAGTAACATGCCCAGCTGCATAAATGAGTATACATGGACGTCACTTTGGATAAAGGTGTCTGGCGTTTAAGAATAATAATCACGTCCCCTATCTTGGTGTATGCATTCAGTTTTCATCTCAGCCCTTATGCATAAGCTTCGTGTAATAGTTCTCCTGAGATCCAGTGATTCGGTCATTGAAGTCAAGCTGGAGGATCACCATGGTGACAGGCAGCAAAGAGCTGGAGTCCTCTTCAGTGTATTGAAGCCGGAGGACGGCTCAGGCTGTAGAGATACACTGGACAGCAGGATACTCCGAGCAGCTCTGGGCTTCACAGGGCCACACAGGGAGGCGTGTCCAAGCTCACTGCCCGTGATTGGCGGACGTTGATGGGTGGGGCATATGCCACGCGCAGACTTTGTTTGAGGTGTGATTCTTTTGCCCTCTGCGTCCATCCCAGGGTGCCACACACAGGCTACAGCTGGTTGGAACGCTCTGTCATGGACGCGGCAGTTTGTGGGTGAGGGTCAGGACAGGGAGGCGCAGAAGGTGGAACGATTGAGAGAGTACTGTCCGTGTGCGAAGGGCAGGGGGACAGCAGCAGAGCAGAACAGCAGCAGAGCAGCCTGTGTGTGCGGCAACGTAGGATCTAGTGGTGCAGTGCGGGGAGCGTGTGCATCTGAGCTTATTCAATGAGGACTGTAGTAAGGGTATGAAAAAGCATGATAGAGTGTGTTCCCAAAGATGGAATGATGGAATACCATGGCAAAGCGAAGGGAATGCAGGGAACAAGTACAGTAGAGCCCCGATTATCAGACCTAAACGGGGCCGATAGCATGTCGGATAATTGAAAATGTCGGCTAATGCGAAAACTGAGTTGACAAATGATAGTTATGGAAGTGCAGTATAAGTATGAAATCTAGTTTATTAATCTACTGAAAATCAGAGCTTTCTCTTGAAGTATCGGACCTGTGATAGGCATGCCCTCTGCTGCGTGAACCTCAAGAACAAAGCTTCATCGACCTTTTCGTCCTTCAGCTGAAGGCCGGTCAGAGCACCACTTCTCTATCTCATTTCTTTTCCTCTCCCAGCTGCAACTCGTCCCACACCGAATTCAGATGCAAGTTTTTTGCAATGAACTCGCCTTTGTCTCGTCCTTTTTTAACACGTCAAGCTTTTGTTCCACTGAAAGAACTGCTTTCTTTCTCCTCGCACTTGTCATGTTTCTCAAATAACACAATTATATATATGAGTGCAAACGAGCGAGCGGGGCTACGTCAATGGCAGGATTTGACGCACTGAGAGACAAAGCAGGATGGGATTGGGCAAAACATTATGCATTCGCACACATACAGTACATAGCATATATGTATATAGCATGTTGATTGCTATGTCGGATAAAATGGAATGTCGGATAATCGAAACTGTGCTGTATAACATATAACATATAAAACATGTAACATATAACATATAACATATAACAATCTGCAGAAGAGCAGCGGTGCTGAACTTTAATAAGGATGCATGCTTATCCTGGACTGTGTGTGAGGGAGAGGTTTCTCATAGAACAGTAAACGGTATCGATTTCAGGGAAAGGTAGCGCATGTGGGAGGGGGGTGTTGAGAAGGAGCGGTTTTCCCTGGGAAACGGCCAGGCTGAAAGAGCAGCCTTGTCCGGCAGCCTCTGTGAGAGGCGGGGCCCATTGCTCCCCTGGGGGGGTCTCCGCTGGGAGGGAGGCAGGTGAGGAGCGTCCCTGGGAGAAAGCCGAGCTGGCCGACTCTCTCTCCAGGGAGAATCGGATGCGTGTGCACGTCCTGAGCTGGAGTCTGGAGAAAGGATCAAAGGGGTCAGTAGGCAGATAATCTCGGGCCTGTTGGAACAATCGGTCTGCATCCAGTTTCAGGTGAGTGATGAATGAAGCTCCACCACAGGTTGAAGCCCAGTTTCACCTCACTGGGAAAAGGAGACGGGCCTTTAACTTGTGATCCTGTGCACAAAGTGCTGGCGTCACATTTTCTGTCAAAGGTATTTTTACTGTAGGGAAAGAATATCAGGGTGGCACACTCCTCCGGGAAAATGAGCGTCACACAGGAAGAAAAGGACACTCTGAGCTGATTAGGAGATTCTGATGTGAAAGTGAAGGTCATTTCACCTCCAGCTCCTCAGAGTGGTTCACTGTGAGTCACGTTTCAAGAGCTCTGCAGAGGCAGCAGTGAAAGCAGGAGACACTTCCTCCAAGTGTGTGAGAGATTTTTGTGAGAGACTCCTGTAGCGAAGCGTGAAGAGATATGCAACAAGTTCCAACTGGACTGCGTGCAGGTGGGGCCAGCTAGTGACAGCCCTGCTCTCGGAGAGCCCCGCTCCTGCAGGTGTTTGAGGATCAGTGGGAGCTGGAGCCCAGGAAACAGGTCTCACCCTGCACCGCCAGAGCTAGGCTTCACCGACTGGAGCTCTGGATTTCAGTCAGGCACAGAGGAAAGAAGCACAAAGTGCCAGACACTTCCAGAGTCGAAGTCCGGGCTCTGAACATCACAGCGCCGACTGCCACCTCTCCTGCTCTGCCATCATCTTCATCATCTTTCTTGGCTGATGCCTGATATCCTTCCGCTCACCAGATCACAGAACCCTCTCTATTCCTACGCGCATGTGTATCTCACAAATGTAGGAGCCTGTAAATTTCAGCTCTCAGCGTGGTGCGTGAGACTAGTAGTGTTTAGAGTTCACCTCCTGAGGCCTACACTTTGACTCTCTTCTTGCAGCCAGGGATCTGCTGCTTCATATCTTAGCCATGGTCTGACCAGGTGGGGCCCCCATGCACAGCGTCATTCACTTCTCGAACCCCCACAGGGCTGTGCCCCACAGCCTGTTGCTGTTCCCTCCTTCAGCGCTGGTTTGTGAAACTAGTCCTCCCCTCTTCCATCAGCACGAGGATCCCTCTCTGCTGTTGCTTGGAGCTGACTGTCTTTCATGGGCTGCTCTTTGTAAGCCTCTTAATGGACACAGGGGTATGGCTAGTTCCACTCACCCTGAGTGACCCACACTCGGTAATTCAACACACACCTGCTTACTCAACGCTTAGCAGCCAATCGGCTCAAGGACACAGCATGGTCCGGGTTTGAGCCAAGATGGTGGCTTCCCAGGACAAGCCTGTTTCTCTTTCTCTTTCACTGCAGTTTCACTGATCTTAACTTGATCTTTACTGCTCTTTACTTGCTTCTACCACACTACACTGGGCAGCGTTGCACACTGCTGTGATTTTTTTACAACTTCCTGCGACCAGCTCCAGCTGCCTGTCTGGAGACCGTGTCCCAGTGCCGGCTCGCCACGCCCTCGCTCTGACCCGCACATGGTCTCTATTAGACACGCTTTCTCCGGCACTGCTTTGCAGGAAGCGGGAGATTCATTTCCCCTTATGGATCAGGTGTCTGTTAACGCTTTACTCGGCCTCCGCCCGCAGTGTGCACTGCACTCAGCAGAGTCACCGTGGGTTTTCGTGCGGTGATTCGGAAACTGACACAGGTGTGGTTCATCCGCGCGGCTGGAGGCCGGGTTCTCCACAGTCCTGTTGACGAGGCTGCACTCAGCGCTGACTCGGCTCGCCTTCTTTCCGGGTTTTGTCAGCAGCCTCATTCAGATCCGCTTCTCGGGTTCCGGGCCTGACTTTCCTCCAGCGTTTCTCCAGCTGCTGCTCTGCAGCTGAACCCGGAGAGCCGGCCCGCGCTGAGGCCGA